ATAATCGATCCTGACGAATAAATGAATTTCACAAATGAATGAATTTTATAATTGAATGGTTTTTGCTGCCGAATTACTAGAATACAATATTTCAAGGCAGATGACGCATCTATTCGATAATTTTTATTCGAATAGTTTTCAACGAATGTTTTTTTACTAGCTATCGAATTATTCGAATGAATTGCAACTATCGAATGTTTCGATAGTATTCATTCGATAGTTCCCACTACTAGCCGGAATATTTCCATTCAAGGCTCCATGTTCATTATTCTGCGGACTATGTTCACCGTACCCAAAATAGCTGCTTTAATACATTGACTTATGATATTTTCTGGTAGCTTCAGCTCCTTTAAGTTCTTCTCAAAATCAATGTAAACCAGACCATTGCTTGAAATGACGAGTGGTATTACTCGGGTTGCTTTTAGATGATAGGTTTGCCCCATATCGAAAGCCAAGTCTTGATACTTCGAAATTTTTTCCCTTGCAGTTTTGACTACGTTGTGATCTAGTGGTACAGCTACGTCGATTAAGTAGGCTTTCTTTTCGTTTTTATCTATCCAAACAATGTCCGGCTTATTATGAACTACTGATCTGTCTGTCTGTATTTGTGTATTCCAGTATACTTTATGATGTTCGGTTTTCCTCTAATTCTTGTGGCCTGTATTCATAATATTTCTTTTCAGGGTTCTTGATTTTTAGGTACTTTAGCTTTTCCAGGTGAATAATCTTTGCTATGTTGTCGTATCTTTCCGTGTAGTGGACTGACGCAAGACTCACATCCAGAGCTGATGTGTTGGATGGATTCGCTAATCTTATGACATACTGTAACGTTTTTAGTTCGTTACATGTCTTTTTTATATATAATATATGATGTCTGGCCTATCATCAACGGATTCCCTATAGTTCAGGCCGGATAGTTTATTTGATGCGTAATTTTTACGTTCCCTAGTCGCCAACCCTGTTATCGTTCGACACAACCCTGTTATTGCTCTGAGGAGGCGCTGTCAACATCGCTTCTGTCAACTGTCTCCGTGCTTAATCTCACTTTGTTTTGACGCCCGGTTGTATCCCAGCTTTTGGAAATGGTGATTATTTAAGTCTTGCTGTATAATTTGAATCAGCTGCTATTTCGAGGCTACAGGGTAGAGTTACGGATGTCCCAACTTGTATTTGTGTTTTGCTGGCACGTTGGCGTCCCTTTTCTTTTGTCCTCCAGAATGTCACATGGAAGAAAGGACATGTTGTTTCTTATTTATTGAGCCCTCGGAAGTATTTCGAGGGTCCAAGATACGGACTGTGTCCAAGGTACGGACTGTGTCCAAGGTACGGACTGTGTCCAAGGTACGGACTGTGTCCAAGGTACGGGTAGTGTCTTATGTACAGACATTATCTTATGTACAGATGTCCTGTGGACGAGTGTCCCCAGTAAGAACGATTTTTTCTTACATCTAAGTGCCACAGCGTGGATGTAGCTTGAGTCCCATGCTGCTTCGTTCCCAGCTGTAAGCTAGTTAGTTACGGCTGTACCAATTTATGGTGTCTCATGCTGGCTCCTTTGGTTGTGTTGGATGGCTGAGTACAGAGATGCGAGACCACCTCACGCTGCTACTGTTTGAAGCAAGATTACATAAAGAACAGCTAAGTGTAGATTTACGTTCTAGTTTTTATGTTTTAGATCTTCTATATTTTCAGTCTTAAACAATAACGTACATCTTAAGTAATATCGTACAGACTATGTTCAGTGGTTAGATTGTTAAGAACATTTATGTCGATATAATCTTTAAAATATAATTTAGATCTTAGGTTTCATTGCATTACGCCTTGTAATAGTATTACTTTCTATAGATATTATTATTGCGCTATATTAACAGATGAATAACGAGACATAGATTCTAGAATCTACAGGTTGCAACACATCAGATTTAACACCGCATAAAATTTAACAATTTAAATAAAGTAATGCTACTTTTCTTATATTTTCTATAACGTTACACGCATTGTATTTTTTCATAGTCTTTTCATAGAACATATTTAATATTATTTACATACATAGTTTTACTCAACAAATAACCACTATAATAATTATTAAAATTGTACAATGCTATTTACCATCAGAATTCATCATGAATAAATATAGTCATTAGTTTTAAGTATTATACAACTGTGTTTTCTTTCTCTGTACATGCCTGGCGCCCAATATCTATTTTTTTTTGTTTATTGTTTTTAATTAGTTTTCTTTCCAGTGAAATACCTTATCCACGACTGCTCTCCGATGAAAAGCTGCCGTTCGCAGTGGTAGTTGTTTAAAAAACGCTACAATACTCTACATTTGTCAGTTGGTATGTTTTGTTTTAAAATATGCCTCCGATACGCTCTAGTGCTAACCACTTGTATTGCACATATGAAGCCCTCGGTTTCTCCCATGAGGTTAATGTTTGTAAGGAATTGTATAGATCCACTTTTATCAATTCCTTCTGCCTGGCTTTTGTTGGCATACCTTCCATGCAGAGTCTTTCCTCGAAGTTCCCTCAGCTGTTCCTGAACCGATGGGACTTCCGTTGGGATATGGGAAGCCAGGTTCAAGGAAGAGTAGCCTCGGTCAATCTCGCATATTGCTCGATGAAGGTAAGTATCCCTTTGCATAAAATAGGTGGTTATTATTAATTTTGATTAACGTCGTATTTTTGCTGTTGTTAGAGTATCCCATTTTCCGATAACTATTATTATCACCCTTTCCGTATCATTTAGCATTTAAGATTACGATGTACTTTCGGGTTGCTCTCAGGGGTCGGGTAAAGCGGGTGTGTGACCGAAGGAAATATATATTATATTTCAGAAATCTGCCTAAAATGTAGCCCGGTCCTGTCGTGTTAGATTAGATTAGATTCTTAGAGGTGGCTTTCGGCCTGATCCACTGCGACCTTCTCAGATCTATTGTGGTCCTCTTCTGATCCTTAGATTACATTCTCCAGTCCTATCCTTTTCGCAAAGTTTAGCAACTTGGAGACTGAACCCTCCATGTAGGTCCTTGGCAATGGCCTATCATTGCCTATTACCGGGAACCGCACATTTGCCAGGCCGTCACACCGACATAAAATGTGTTCTGACGTTTCTTCTTCAGATTGGCAGAACCTACACATAGCTTCGTCTGTCAATCCCATCAGCTTTAGATGCCTATTTAGCTTACAATGCCCTGTTAGTAGACCTACTACAGCTTTGACTGTCGTGTTAAGTCACATCTAAAATTCCAAGCACACATGCTTTGATTAACGCTTGATTAAGGCTTGCAGAGCTTCAGAATTTGCCATAAAATATCGAGCAATTTGTGACAAAACCACATAAATTATATATCACTGTAATCAACAAAACTTCAATCTATTTCCGTATTGCTACGGAATTTTAAATTATGTCTTTATTTTCAAGAAAATTTAGTCCAAACATAAGAAATATTTTGTTGATTATTTGACCATCAAAATCTTAAAAACAAAGAAGTTGTTTAAAAATGTGCTACAATACGGATATAGTATAATCCTTTATCTTTAATTTCCTTCTTCATTTTTGTAAAAATACCTAGCCAGTTTTACGTCAAACATTAAATGCCGAACCCTTATTTTGCTACTTTTTCGGACTAATGAAATGGGCCCTTAACTAAATAAATGTTGTGCTCATTTAACATTTTAAAACAGCATAAAATATGACGTTAATTAAAATTCTCTCAATAACAATCTATCAAAGAATAAAAACTTTGAATTAAATTACCATAGACACGCTTTTAAATGTTTAGTACTATATTTTCATGTTTTTTAAAAAAAATAATGAAGAATGCATTTTCTCAAAATGTCAATAATACATTTTTTTTTCTCTTGTAAAGACAATCCGGGGATACACTGTATAGTTATGAATATATCTGTATGTTGAAAAGTTCCCACACATATCAGGGACCCTGTATAATAAAATTGGTCCTTAACAATTTTTAAAAGTCTTATTATTATTATTTAATTTATTCAGATATAATAAGACATTCAGAAAGAAGCTAACCAAATTATATCTCTTCCTGTATTTATCATTATTTTATTTCATTAATTTACGTCAATAATCGTTTATCAAAAGGTTTGTTCCAACCCGCCGCAGAACCGTCACCGAACGATCACGTTCATGTGCAGTAATTCAAACGTGTTTCAACCGAGATTTGACGGTTATCGGACGATCCTATTTGCGATCCTATCGTTTAGTTACAATTTTAGAACTGTAATTTCGGTACATGGTCCAAATTGAGAACTGTTTGGGTTAACTTGCGCATTAAAGCATATTGGCAGGGATTATCGATTTTTAACAGCTGATTCTGGTCCGGCGTCCGGTTGATGCATCTGTCTTGGTTATTTTTTACGAATTCGAATACGTGTGCGTTATACTTTTGCTTATGGGTTTCTGTGGAGTAAATCGTTCGGAAATTTTAATTCATTTTTTATTTATAAAATAATGTACAAAGATTCTACCAGTGCAATGAAATAACATGAAACTACGCATATCAGGATCATAAAAGAGAAGATAAGTAAGTGAGTAGTGAGTATACAGTTAAAACAACACTTACCAACACTTTGCCAACACTTACTGGATTCTGATTCTCCATTTCAAGAATAGTAATTATTATTATTGCAAATTGCTAACAAAAATAATAGGGTTATGTTATGAAATTCTAAACAAAAACAAAAAACCGATCGATACACGTACGCTTGACACTTTTGACAGTCCCGAAAACAACCCACAAAGCGTTCCAACGTTGATACTTTTTGCACCGTCACGAAACTATTCGAAGTCCGCGCATGCTAACAAAGTGCAAGAAAACCGATTCGAGTACGATTTCGAAACGATCCCGAAATGCTGGTTGGAACAAACCTAAAGTAGAGGTTATTTTTTTAACAACCCATTTACTCTAAAAACAAGGTACAAAAAAATGGTATTTAGTAGATCGTTTTTTATAATATCTAGGCCCAAGCTGGTAAATTCTTTGACATGTTTTGTTCAAATTTAGTAGGTATTTGCTTGGCCTGTGCGAAACTGTGACTTATTTATAACAATTTCCATTCGGTAAGTTAACATTTTGGTATCATGGCTTTTACTTTGATTCCCGATATTTTAATTGTTGTTAATCTCATAATCTTTATACAGGGTGTTTCACAAAACATGTGCCAAAAAATGTCTATATCTATGTGGCGGATTCATCTCTCCAAAAAAATCCTTTATGGGTATTTCTCCACTGCACTGCAAGAAAAATCTACAAAATAAAATAGTTATTCTTTGTAAACACTTCTGCGTTAAACCTAAACGGATGCTGCTTGTCAGAAGTTGTGTTTACAGTAATAAAAATTTGCCTAACAAAGAAAAAAATGCTTAACGTTTCGAATTTAAAATATTTAAATTGAACTATTCAAGAACACTTTACTTTTTAAAACAGATACGTCTACAAGAAATCGTTGACGTTCTGTTAAAATGACATTATATTAAGTTAAACTCATAGATAAAAGAAAATAATCTACTATTAAGATAGATATGAAACTTAATAGTAAAATTTTGGGTCAAAGCGCCCCTCCGTGTTTTTAGTGGAGACTACGTTTAACCCAGCGCCTTCGCCTTTTCTGCTGTAAATGTTTTTTATGTTTATATTTGAATTCAAAGGATTTATTTTTAAAGTTACATAAGAATATATATATTTTACAATTTATTTTTTATTTATTTTACAGAGTTTCATGTAAATGATCGTAAGTCGACTGGCTGTCTAATGAATAGACCGAGATTTATAGATTTTAAAGCGAACGAAAAAAAAATCAAACAACGAATACATACCATATATTTTTCTTTTATCTAAGATACATACCTTATCGTCTTTTGGAAACACGTACATTTTTGCAGTTTTGTTAGTTTCTTTGCAAGATGCAACACAACAAGAAAACACCATTTTTACAGTTAATAAATAATAAAACTATTTCTGACTATGATATTTAAAATTTAGATAGATAGAAAATTAAAAACAAACGATTATTTGCAAACGCAGACCCAAATTCAATAAAAATCAAAATTTTTCCTGCAAAAATCAGGCTTTTTTCACTGAAAAGGTATTTTTTGATTTATCAGCAGTCATTGTCAAGTTGACAATAGACAGGGTGTTTTCGAATTAGGCTAAAAAAATTATGGTGTGATTCCTCATGTGTTCTTAAAACAATTTTTATATAACCATTGGGTCTAAAGTACTTCCTTTCTGATCTACAGGGTGTTAAAAATTTAAAAAATCGATTTTTTGCTTAACATAAATGGTACACCACTGCTTTTTAAAAAAAAAACATTTTTTCTTGACTGGCCATCCTTTTTCAACAAAATTGATCTTTTGAGTTTTTCTTGTTCATCAAACGGTTGTCAAGAAAAAAATAAATATACTTATTAAGAGCCCGACTTAATTCGTTTTCTAACGATTTTTTATATTTTAGATTAATTAGGAAACACCCTGTATATGCATATCACAGGCAACCAAATAAACTAGTAACCTCTAAAAATTATTTTTCCTACCACTAGCGACATACCGTGTTTTTAGTGTGTACTAAATTATTTTATCAAAATTTCAGCATATAAGTTTCCAGGCAATGGTTAAACTTCAAAATTAACAATTACTACCTGATAACAATTACTTAATAAGGTAAAACCAAAAAGCCCAAACTTTCTGTATGATTATTTTTAAATTTTACGTATGTTATGTTTATTTATGTTATGTTCTGTTTTGTTTTTTTCTTGCAGTGCAGTGGCGAAATACCCATAAAGGATTTTTTTGGATAAAACGTGCCATCTCTCGTGGGGCCTAAAAATAAGATTTATTTTTCATATCAACATAGGTCCGATTCTGCTTTGTTTCTTAGCTGCAGAGTGTTAAAATCTTAATATCCATTCGATTTATGATACTTTTCTTCCAAGTACTTTGAGCGTTTCGAATGAAATTTTGAGGGTTAAAGTTATTATAAATACGACATATTTTAAGGCTAAAAAAGTGTCGCTATATTCACCAGGGACGTGCATATGGGTTATCACTGGAATACTTTTCTGAAAAAGCATGTTTTTTTTCTCTCGTTAGCGAAATATTGTAAGCTGTTTAATGTCGATTAAAAGTTGTGTCTTGATATTTTGTCGATTTCGGCCTCCTTGATGAGATAAACGCAATTTTATTAATTTGCCTTGACCCAAGTCTAATAGCAACCTTTAAAAAAATTATTATCATTAACTTGAGTAAGTTTTAAATAAGTACTTACTCATCCTCAGCAAAAAATATAAAAAAAAGTTCCTATACAGATGGGTCTGGAAAGGCATAGTTTTAGAGTTACAGGATGTCAATTCATTTTCTTTACTTCCAATGACAGGTTTCTGCCTAATAGACCATATTTAAAAAAAACACTACCATAGCTCTGCGAAATAGAAAAGTATTTTTTCAAGGAACGCTTATCAGGAAGATTCCTATTTGGATATCTTTGAGCATAGGCTCTTGAGGCTAAGAAGCAAGAGGCCACAAAATAAAATCACTAGTAACATATCCATTCGTTCCGCCAGCAGATACTGCTTTATTTTTCTTGATAAAATGATGAATAATGAAGTTTAATAAGTATTAAACTATTGTAGCTAAATTTAAGTAAACTGTTATAAATCTAAATAATAATGTCCATAAACTAATGTCGATTTTGAAAAGAGTTACTAACTTCAACTAGAAAATTGCCTTTATCTAATCAAAAATCGCTTTTTATTCAAAATCTGAGATAGATAGGTATAGGAAACCCTAATATAGTTTGAAAGAGCATTTGAATCTGCTTCGATTTGTATTAAAAAATACAGGGTGTTCTATTTGAAATAACGAAGTTTTTATGTAAAATATATATTTAAAATAGACCAGCAATTTTTGATACCCCTGTATACATTAAACAAAGCAATCAAAGTTTTCAGTAAAGTTTATTTCTCTGGTGTATAAGTCAGGACAGGAATTAGTTCTGAAAAGAAATGTACAGGGTGGGTCAAATTCGACGCTTTTAAATGGAGACACCCTTTTCTATAGGAGATGGACAAAAACTAATATCGGTGTCCGGAGCTCAATTTTAATCAAAAACATGATGGTGAAAACCGCATATCGATATCTGTAACCGTTTCGGGGTTACGGGGTGTTTTTCAAAAATATGCATTTTTAACAAATCGCTGTAACTTTTTTGCTATGAAAAATTTTGTATTTTTATGAAAACATTTCCAAAGCAACTTTTTACGTAGAATTTAATGGTTTAAGTATATTTTTTTTTTAAATTAATAATTTAAGAGTTATCAACAGAATAATTGATTTTTTATTTGGGACACCCTCTATATTTTTAATTAACTGAAAAGAATTTAAAATTACCTTTCCAAAAATATAGCACACTTGATATTTTCTTATAATCCCCTTCGAAATACAGAATTTTTAAAAGTTTGTCACTTTTAACTAGTAGGCTTTGGACTCCTTATTGATGATATGTCCTTAATGGAACTCGAAAACATATTTTTCCAGCAAGACGGCGCACCGCCTCTAAACGCTGAAGTTATCAGCAAATTTTTGCAGCCAATTTCAAGAATAATTGAATAGCTAACCAAGATCCCAGCCGTTGGCCGTCGAGGCCGCATGACTTATTGCCCATGAATCTAATCCTATGGATATATTTGCGGAAGAATAAAGGTTCCTTATTCTTCCATATAATATAAACAAGAATTAGAAATACTTAGCAGTTATGAGAGGGTATCTTTCACCCCCACTGAGTTAATGAATTCCGCGAGAATTGTTCAAAAACTGCCCCGTCTATCCATAACAGAAGACGGTCGATATGTCGAACACCTGTAGCCAAATATCATGTCTTGGTTTGCTAGTCAAATCAAATCATCATATTTTTATTGTTATTAGATATAGTTTAAATGTGTTGATGTTGGTTAAATATATTTTAAATTGTTAGAAAATTCTGCATCTCTTATAGCAAATATTATTTTCGTTTTAATTGATGCTCATAGCTAGATTTTTTTTTGAATTACAGCCGGTGCCGTTCAAAGCCTACTTATTTAAAACGGGCAAGTTTTTATATACTCTATATCTCGAAGAGGAATCGAGCACAATATCAAGTGTGTTATATTTTTGGAAAGGTGATTTTAAATTCTTTTCGATAAATTAAAAATATACAGGGTGTCCCATATAAAAAATCAATTTTTCTGTTGATAATTCTTAAATTATTAATTTTAAAAAAATTATACTTAAACCATCATATTCTATGTAAAAAGATGCTTCGGAAATGTTTTCACAAAAATACAAAATTTTCCATAGCAAAAAAGTTACAGCGATTTGTTAAAAATGCATATTTTTGAAAAACACCTCGTTAACTCCGGAACGGTAACAGATATCGATATGCGGTTTTTACCACCATGTTTTTGATAAAAATTGAGCTCCAGACACCGATATTAGTTTTTGTCTAGCTCCTATAGAAAAGGGTGTTTCCATATAAAAGCGTCGAATTTGACCCACCCTGTACAGGGTGTAAATAATCTATTCTAATGTAGCATGAATTTTTAAATATCCTTAAATATCTCAAAAACCAAAGATTTTAAACATATTTAACCCTTTTAATAAATGCCTTATCTTTTGCCCAAGAATTCAAATATGAAATAAAATACCGGGTGTTCCATAAGAAATAATATAACTTTGGTATGGATCTTAGTTCTGAAACACCCTGTACATTTCAAAATAATTTTAAATTGTGTATATTCCCTCCCCACATATACCCATAAATATTTTGTTTCAACATCTTTCCGTTTTCGTATAATCAACCGAGGCGAATGAGGTGCGCGACCCTGTATAACATTTATAATTATTTTTCGATTTATTATCTGTTATATCTGTGATAGAAATATTTTTATAGTTTTCTAGGACACTTTTTTATAACTTTTGCAGCTATTTTTTGATTTACTTTGTTTTCCCTCGTATAACTTACAGACAAAAATTTTCATTTTTAATTTAGAGAAAGACTCTAAAAACTGAAATAATTTAGCTAAAAACTAGATACTTAAAAATCATCAAAATCGGCCCACCAGAACCAAATATACAGGGTGGCGCCTCTCATCCGCCGCAGAAGCTCCAAGGAGAACGGTAGTTTATATCGAACTGAAATTTTGGCAGCATATGTAGGTTAATTGAAAGCATTTTATAAAAATATATGGAATTACACAGGTTGTCCCCAAAAAAAGTTACACATCAAAGTTGTGTTTTTTCCAATGGAACACCCTATATATTAATTGATTTTCGGATTCTAGGAAAAAAAGGTGAGTTTTATTAAAGAAGCATATACCTAAAATCTAAGGATTTTGACATATTTCCCATTTTGTGAAAATGAAGAGTAAATTTTAAATTTCGATAACAGCTACCTAAATTTTAGTTGACCTTGTATAACATTATATTTAATTACAGTAACCATTGTATATTAAACCAAATTAAAATTTGACCCGAAAAGTTATACAGGGTGAGAGAAAATTTATATGGAAAATTTCTCAGTCGCTTTTAAAAACAAGTTACTCCTTTATTTTAAACGGAACACCCAGTATATTTTTCCGGTGTTCAATTAGAAATTTATATAACCTCAAAATATTATTAAACCTGCCTACACCTCAGACAAAGATTTTCCTAGATATTTTAATTTTTACGATTTTGAGCCTGTATTATTTAAAAAAATCTAGGTGGCTGTGTGATATACCTTTTGTTAATTTAACAAAAATTGAAGATTGTAGAGTAAGTAAAACAGTAGTTTAAAACATATTTTAATTATTATAGAATTAAAACTAAATATAAACGTAAAATTATGTAACAAAAATTAGCTAAATGAAATCAAATCCTCAAAATGCTTCCTTTCCTGTTAACTGCATAAAATGATGTCTTTTCAAAAGGATCTTTTCATTTTAAAAGGCATTTATGTGGAGTTCTACCTCGAAAAGCAGCTACAATAATTTCTCTCATGATTTCGAAAATAGTTGGTCGAGTTTTGTAAACACTGACTGTCTTTAACATATCCATTAAAAAAACCCAGATTAGATAAAATCAGGAGCTTTTAAGTTTTCTATTACTGCATTCAGTTTGCATTTTCGGCAAATTCCTGAGAATTTTGTTTTAACTGACACAAATTGATTACTAGTTGTTAAAGTTGGACTAATTTGACAGCTATGTTGAAGTAACGTCAAACATATCACCAAAAACCTAGATTTTATCAAATAATAAAGAACTACTCAAATCAAATCATGTAAATGAAAATATCTAGGAATATCTTTGTTTGAGGGGTAGACAACCTTAATAGTATTTTGAAGAGACATGAATTCTCCATTGAATATCGGAATAATATACTGGGTGTTGTTTAAATAAAAATAAAAGAATAACATGCTTTTAAAGCCAATGTTCAATATTAATTTTGTCTCACCCTGTATAAGTTTTTGGAACAAGTTTTAATTTGATTTAAAGTGCAATAGTTAATTTAACTACATATTAAGCTATACCGGGTAAATTCCAATTTAGGTAGTTTTTATTGTAATTTAAAAAAATATGTTAAAAACCTTACATTTTAGTCATATGTGTTATTACTCTTATAAAACTCACCTTTATTTTTCTTCCAGAATCCGAAAATGAATTAATACATAGGGTGTTCCATTACAAAAAACACAACTTTGATATGTAATTTTTTTGGGACACCCTGTAGAACTGTCTATATTTTTAAAAAGTGCTCTGAATTAACCTACATATGCTCACGAAATTTTATTTCAATACAAACTGTCGTTCTCCTTAGAGCCTCCGCGACGTATGAGAGGCGCCACCCTGTATTAATGCGCCCGTTTTTCGTGCCGACGAGTGTATTGCGGTTTCCGAAATACCAATGCTAATACTTGGAATTTGTATCACCCTGTATAATTTCTTTTTATTCCGTTATTAGACCACTAGATCCAGATGGGAAATTGCTGTCAGTCAATCCAGGCATACTGCTACAATGTCGTTAAAACATATCGTGAAGAGTGTGGTCCTCTAACTATTTCGTACATGGTACCGGTATTAAGAGAGGGTCACGACAATAAGGGACCCATACCGGTTATTCCTGTTCAAAACGCCAATGAGATAAAGCCAATAATTTACAAAGACTATTATGAAATTGACCAGTTCTTAGCGTTTCCTTTGGCCATATTTGAGTCCTATGATAACCGGAGCATAGCAATGGCGTTAAGTTTTGATGATCCAGTTTATGAAACGTGCGTATTGGTAAAAGAGGGTGAGTCTTAAAAAGTAATACATGAAAGATGAAAGGCATGGGCACGTTAGGCGTTTATGGAAAACCGGTGATAGAATTTTTTTGAAAAATTTGGATTTTTGTATAAAGGCACCTGCTCCATCTGTATAAATTATTTTCAGCATTACAGTTGAATTAACTTGCCGCTTCATATTAACCGTTAAGTACTCACGTGTGATTTACAGACGTAAGTACCCGCGAGGCGCCTGAGAGGCGCCAGGGCAAATAATTACTATCTGAACTCCTCAATTAAGAAAAATGCTGTTGTTTTCCTCCATTTAGAGGCATCTATTATACATATATGTTACTGTATATGTCCGAAATGCGGTAAAACCTAGGATAAGCGCGCTAAACCTACGATTTACCAAAAACATGTGGTAAAAGCCCGAAAACTATTTATTTTACTTCAATTTCAGACATTTGCCGGACCCAAACAGTAAATCGTAGAGGATTTACCACACCGCATTGGTAAAAGTACGAATAAGCAAGTGGTAGTAAAAACCAACCAACCTCACCAATAATATAACCACCTAACCAATGCATTAACACGCCCCAAATAACCAGGCTAACCAATGCATTAACACCCTCCAAATAACCACCTAACCAATGCATTAACACTCCCCAAATAACCACCTAACCAATGCATTAACACTCCCCAAATAACCAGGCTAACCATACATACATACTGCCATTACTCGCTGACGAGTATTTGACACGCATCAGAAGATGGTCACGCAAGGCGTTTTCTTTCATGAGCTTTTCTGTGACTGAAAAGCCCAATACGTGATGTTATTTGTCTACCGCACTCCGGACATTCAAAAATCTCATTGCTTTGCTGCCTCTTAACTTTTTGGTTCTCGCTGTTAAGTGAGTTTACAATTCTTCTCCATTGAGTTCTATTGTGAGCTGCTACTTCCCACTCATTCTGCACATTAATTCCCTTTAAGTTTTCGTGGAAAATGTCCTTGTACCTTTTGAGTTGTCCACCTGGCCTCCTCTTACCGTCTACAAGCTCACCGTAAAGCAGTGATTTTGGTATGCGGTTTTCTTGCATTCTGCATACGTGACCAGCCCATCTTAGTCGGGATTTTGTAACCATGACTTCAATACTCTCGCAGTTAGCTTTTTCAAGAACCGATACGTTTGAGACGTAATGGAACCATTTGATTCTTAAGAGTTGTCTAAGGTGTCTCTGTTGCAACTTGTCCATCCGCCAACTACAGGAAAAAGTAAAAGAACAGCAGTCTAAACTTTATGTTGCCTTCATCGACCTAACAAAAGCCTTCGACTCTGTGAACAGAGATGCACTTTGGGCAATTCTGAAAAAGTTCGGAGTACCCAACAAATTTCTTACAGTGTGTAAAAGCATCCATAACAACAACCAGTCAAGAGTGTCACATCATGGATCACTAAGCGATCCCTTCCTGACAAATACAGGAGTTAGGCAGGGATGTGTCTTAGCGCCTCTCCTATTCAACATATTCATGGCAGCGCTCTCCATTATAGTGGACAGCAAACTGCAGGAGAGAGGATTGGGCATTAGATACAGATATGATGGCTGTCTGTTCAACATAAACAGACTCAGGGCAAAAACACGTACAAAATTCATCACAGAACTTCAATACGTTGACGATTGCGCTCTAGTTGGAAAAACTGTACAGCAATTAGAAGAAATGTTAAACACATATACCTGGGCATACGAGGCTTTGGGCCTTAAGCTAAACATCGACAAAACTAAAATCATGTGCACTCCCCCGGAAGATCACAACAATGCTATAAAAATCGGAGAAGAACTACTAGAATATGTAGCGGAATTCAATTATCTCGGCAGTTTGATTTCGGAAAAGGCCAATATCGACTCTGAAATTCAGCACAGGATTAGCAGCGCTTCAAGAGCATTCTGGAAATTAAAAGACAGGGTTTTTTACACCCATGACCTGAGCACAAAAACGAAACTTGCAGTGTACCGAGCAATAATAATCCCCACCATGTTATATGGGAGCGAAACCTGGATGCCGTACCGCCGACACATGAACGCATTAAACAAGTTGCAACCAGGCTAACCAATGCATTAACACCCTCCAAATAACCAGGCTAACCAATATATTAACAACACCCTCCAAATAACCAGGCTAACCTAATTAGTTAATGCTTTTGGTAAATCCTAGGTTTAGCGCGCTTATCCTAGGTTTTACCGCATTTCGGACATTTACAGTAACAAATAGACTGATACGTTACAAAAATCGATATCGTGAAACGATAATGGTTAAAATTTCAGTGCCTAAGTAAACAAAAACAGAGATGTCTTTGTATATCGACATCCTTAATTTGTCGATATTGTTGCTATAGAAAAATAATTCGTACTTTTACCAATGCGATGTGGTAAATCCTAAGATTTACTGTTTGGGTGGATTTACTAAAATACACAAGATTTACTGTTTGGGTCCGGTAAAAGTCCGAAATGGAAGCAAAATAAAGTTTTCGAACTTTTACCACTTGATTTTGGTAAATCCTAGATTTAGCGCGCTTATCCTAGGTTTTACCGCATTTGGGACATTTACAGTGACATATACAGGGTGGTCCAAACTGTATTCAGCAGCATATTCTGCAGATAAAAATAAGTAAAAAAGTGCGCAAAAATGTATGTCCTAAAATGCTTAGTTTCGGAAATACACGGTGTAGAAGTTTCATTTTTATTTCAATTTTTTCTCTGGAAGTTTTTTGACATGAGAAATTTGATTTTGATGTCAATATGACTCCTACTAGTAGAGGGCGCCACCTACATATTTTTTAACTGGTTTAAAGAGTAATAACTTTTCGTCCGTACCTGTATAAAACTACTGAGTAAAAAAATACACATTTGCGACGTTTTTTACGTGAAGAAGGTCTCTTGGTAAAAATCTCTACGAGTAATGGTTTCCAAGATATTTGGAATCGAAATTATCAATACCTGTCATTGACATAAATTAAACCTGTTGACTAAATATAGTTATTAGACTGAAATCATAAATTTCAAAAGTTTTTGTGCCAAAAGTTCAACAGAAACTGTTTTATCATTATTTTTTGCAGAAAAATTTATGATTAATTTAAAAAAAATTCCCAAATTTACTGTTTCAGTGAAATAACTATGTACTCAACGTGTTTATTTTTCGTCAATAATGACATGTATTGTCTATTTCCATTTTAAATATCTTAAGAACGGTTGCTCGTAGCGATTTTTTCAAAGGGATATTTTTTACGTAAAAAGTCACAGAGATGTAAATTTTTTCCGCTCGGTAGTTTTATACAGGTACGAACAAAAAGTTATTACGCTTCAAAACAGTTAAAATACATGTAGGTGGCGCCCTCTACTAGTAGGAGTCATATTGACACCAAAATCAAATCTCGCATGTCAAAAAACTCCCAGACACCAATTATTTTCAACCAAATATTGACGTTACTTCAGAAATTATTTAGAAAAAATCGAAATAAAAATGAAACTTCTACACCCTGTATCTCTGAAAGTAAGCATTTTAGGACATACATTTATACGAACTTTTTTACTTATTTTTATCTGCAGAATATGCCGCCGAAGTTTCCGGAATACAGTTTGGACCACCCTGTCGGATGGCCAACTAAGAATTGAAGCCGGCTGTATCTCAGAAACTACTTACCGTATAACTTTGGGAAAAAAATTATAATAAGTAAATCGACCGAGAGAAATCGCTGGAAATTATTTTCAAGTTCGAAAAATGAAATGTTTCTCTAATAACCAATCAGAAAACAGGGGTTTTCTGAAAAATATGCAGGTGTTTTAAAAGGTATTTTAAATATTACTATTGTAATCATCGAGAAATTTGTAATTTTTTTGATACATAGTATTTTGCTCTATCTCATAAAATAAAGTGGTGGGGTTAAATTTGCTTTTATTAAAATAAGGATAACTCTGGTTTAGGTTACGCGATTTAAACAAACTAGGCCTCGTTTCAAAGAGATTTTCTTCCTTAATGATCTCCAGTATAAATTTTGTTTCCACAATTTTTTCGTGGTAGCTAGAGGGCGCTGTTTGACATCATAACAGATATTGCGCTTTTGCGTAAAAATTTTAAATAGGAGGCTATATTTCCCTTTACACAGTTAAATAGAGCATAAAATTTCCAAAATATCAGCGCAAACCTCAACTTTCTATCTTCTTTCTAACCGGAGATATTAAGAGAACAAATCATGTTAGGCTGCCGCTTAGCATTATATGGTCTAAAATTTATAGTAGTAGGCTAGGAAACAAAAAGAGGTAAATTGGTTACGTCAAAATATCAAAACATATATTTTAATTTCATTTTAATACCATTTAATTACTATTTATCCATGTTCGTTCTTGATTCGACCCCATAAATTAAAACCCAGGCATATTGAATCCGATGACCCAGCTGGCCATGGAAATATGCCGCTCTAGCGTCTCTATCTACTAAAGTAGGTGGTATCAAAGAAGCCCCACACATTCATAGCAAAATAAGCGGTTCCACTGCCTCAACTACACTAAATGCATCCATGCTGGTGAAATTGCATTTGTTGCAATTTCATCATGATAAAATTGGCAATTCATTTCTAAGAAATTATGGATAGTTCATTTCATTCAGATAATTAAAAAAGTCCAATCATTCGCCATTCTAGAATACCTGCGCAAACATTTACCGACCAACGGTCTTGGTGCTAAACTACTTGCATCAAGGGTAGATTTGGACCAGTAGTGCATATTGTTAAGATTCGCACCTTCGTTCGGTGCTATATGAAAAGTGACCCAAACGACATAAACTTTATAATATAATAATAAATAACACAAACAACAGGTAAAACACGAAAACAAGTGAAATCAAGGACGAACTTGGATTAATAACTAAATGACGTTACATGAAATAAACCACTAGTTTTCGGCCATACGAAATTCGGCCATTTTCTGTTAAAAGCAATATGGCGGCACTAAATTCCTAGAAATTTTAACAAAATTATTGATTGTCCGACTTTCGGACATTTTAATCTAAGAACTACTTAAGGTACTCGCACACTTGTACACTTTTGTGGCGCAAGTTCTTCTGGCGCCATTATAAAATTGCTCGATCTGTTCACACGGGAGGCAAAATTGAGCCGAAAATTGCTACATAAATGAATTGCGCAACCTAAAAATGTCAAGACATTTTTTAGAGTTGCAGGGCTACTCACACATAATGGCCACTTTTTATGGCGAAACTCTATTAAAAAGTTGCTCTATAGACTTTGATTCATTTTCTTGGTGTCTACGTGACATATTGTATTGCTTTTTTTAATGTCACAGTGGTGCATTATATTTTGATAATGTATTCTGATGAACAAATAAAAGCTGCTGCCCTCTTAGGTCTTATATTGCTGCGAAGACGACAAAATAGAAGACGCAGGTATCGTAAAAAAAGGACAATTTGGGTTCGAAAATGGATTCAGAATCGTTCCCGATATGGAGCAACAAATACTTTGTTAAAAGAATTAAGAGAAGGCGACGAGGCATTCTATAAAAATTTCTTGCGGTTGTCCAGTAACGATTTTGATTACTTATTAGAAAAAATAACCCCGTTAATACAAAAAAAGGATACATTTATGAGGAAAGCGATAACACTTGCTGAGCGCCTTGTCGTAACATTAAGATATTTAGCAACAGGTAAGTACTACTGTATTATAATAACCAAAAGATGAAAAAAAAATCATTTTTTTTTATTTAGTAAAAGTCTGTGCCCTCAGAAAAAAAATCATTTTAGGTGATAGCTTCCAGTCCCTTATGTATTTGTTTCGAATACCAACAAATACTCTGTCGCAAATAATTCCAGAGGTATGCAAAGCAATATACGATGTATTAAAGGATGACTATTTAAAGGTATAAAATGCTTATTTTTATTGATGAAAATAGTACAGAAATCAAGTAGGCATTTAATTTAACAAATTGTTATCAGTGGTGAGATTCGCATCGGAAAAATTCTGCGTAAGCAGCACTGTATATGTCGGTGCATTATCATAAAATTTATCGCCGGAAGACACACTATTTTCTGGCTGTAAATTTTCTACTAGTAAAGGAGAATCATTCGACAAGTTAGGTGAAAGCAGTGGTGTTGCAGATGCAGATGACTGTTTTTTATATTTTCTTGCAGCATGTGCTGCTGTATTGGCCTCCAAAATCGCTTTTAGAATTGAACTTTTTAGAGTAAACTGTACATCTTCCACGTCTTTTAGCAGCCTTAGTTCATTTGCTACATGATCGCCAAATGTTGAATATTCATCTGTAACACGCTGTGGTGCATTTAGCACTTGAAGGCAATGGCCAATCGTTGCCTCTTCTTGAGCATCAACGTTACATTGCTGATCAGTTTTTCCTCTTTTCCTTTTTAAAGATCTTTGCTGAGAATGATTAGGCTTTTGAGAACATGAGGGCGAAGGCAAATTTAACTGCGATAGCGGTTGACTATGAATTTCCCCAGGATCATCATTTTCTGCATCTTTGTTACTTATATCGTCTTCCATATTCGTAATTCCAGCGTCGCCGACGTCATGAGTCTGGTCGTCATTTGTAGCACTCACTCTCATTTTCTGAAAATTAATGATCTTAATTAAAATACGTGTAATATCATCTATGTTAAAATCTAATTGTTATTTTTTATAAAATATTTTTAAGGCATGATTATAACTTCAAGTATTTTAAACCGAGTTCCCAAGTATTAATTTATATTCAATTTTAGATGCCAAACACTGAAGCTGAATGGACAAAAATAGCAGATGATTTCAATACCAAATGGAATTTTCCTAACTGTCTTGGGTCGCTAGACGGAAAACACATAAATATTAAAGCACCACCGAATAGTGGCAGTTTGTATTTTAATTACAAGGGTGCTCATAGTATTGTTCTTATGGCTTTAGCCGACGCCAATTACAAATTTACCTATATCAATGTTGGTTCACCAGGACGTGACTCAGATGGTGGAGTTTACAGCAACTGTTCACTTGCAGATGCGGTTACAAATAACTTACTGAATATACCAAATGAACGACCCTTACCGGGACGAAGTACTGCAGTACCATTTGTTTTCGTAGCAGATGATGCGTTTGCATTACAGCCGCATATTATGAAACCGTTTGCTTTTAGAAATCAGAGCATACAAGAAAGGATATTTAACTATCGTTTGTCACGTGCGAGAAGAATTATTGAGAACGTTTTTGGAATATGTTCTGCTCGATTTCGAATTTTAAGAAGAAGTGTGGAACTAGTTCCAAAAAAGATGAAAATAATTGTGTGTGCAATCGCTGCCCTTCATAATTTTATTATGTCACGTAAAGAATCAGCAAACATGTATGCACCTCAAGGAACTTTTGACGTGGAGAATGAAGATGGTACAATAATAAGAGGTAATTGGCGGAACGAAGAAAATAGCCAGCATTTCGTACCCTTAGAAAGAATACCAAGAGGTATAAGCCTAGAGGCAAAAAATGTACGCGATGAATATAAAAATTATTTTTGTCGGGAAGGGGAAGTTCCATGGCAAAGAAACTACATTTAAATATAACAAGATAATTCCATACAAAATGAAGCCCTTTTAAATTTCATAAAACTTGTTAATTTGTTACCAGTCCGATCAGAATTCAATAATGTTTAACTGCCTGCATAGTTATGTATACAATACCCTTTACTATACCCTTTATTTCAAGACATTCCAGGATAATGTAGGACATGCTTTATATTTAAAAGAAAGTAATACAAAAAATGTTTACTTACCATGGAATCAATCGTTTCATTTGCTGAACTGTGTTGAAACATAAATTGTAAAGCATTATAAAACTCCCATTTAGTCTTATAGCGATCAGTTGTACTGTCTCCGCTTTTAAACTTTTTCATTTTAGAACGTTCGTTCGTGTACTGTGTTCGTAAACTGTGTATTTTCTTTTTAACATCCTCAGAAGATATTTTTAATTCAGAAGCAATGTTACATACTGCCTTCTCTCTTTTTAATCTGTCTTTAAAATCAGCTAATGTCACATTCCATAAGCACTGATTATCTTCTATTAAACTTATTAAATGTAAAGTGTCCTCCGACTTCCACTTGCTTTTATTGTAACTTGACATACTTCTTGATATTATTATTAAAATCTACTTCGACTCAATGAAAAACTTCTAACCTCAAACAACAAACAACACATTAAAGTTGCACAAGTAGTAATATTGCGACATATCATATAACCAACATGTCGGTGTATTTATATGTTGCGCAATATTATTTCTTTTGACTGTTCACACATTGCAATTTCTGAAGTGTAAGCAAGATGAAAAAATGTAGTACAGTTTTGATTGTTGCGCAATTTTTGAAGTTGCAACGATAGTCTCACATTTAAATTTAGGAATGGCGACATTTTTTAGATTGCGCAATACAAAAAGTGTACAAGTGTGCGAGTACCTTTACGTATAATTAATCAAGAAATTCGTAAAAATGATATGGATGGATGATAATGTTACATAAATACAAATAATTAATGATGACGTCATTTTTTTTAAGAAAACGCCCGAAATTCGGATGCATGAAAACTGAACTTATACGTTTTGTTATTTTGACGTAACCAATTTACCTTTTTTTGTTTTCTAGCCTACTACTACAATTTTTAGACAATATAATCCTAAGCGGCAACCTAACATGATTTGTTCTCTTAATATCTCCGGTTAGAGAGAAGATAGAAAGTTGCGGTTTGCGCTGATATTTTGGAAATTTTGTGCTCTATTTAAGTGTGCAAAGAGAAGTATAGCCTCCTATTTAAATTTTTTATGCAAAAGCGCAATATCTATTATGATGTCAACAGCGCCCTATAGCTACCACGAAAGAAATTGTGGAAACATAATTTATACTGGAGATCATTAAGGAAGAAAAGCTCTTTTAAACCAGCCCTAGTTTGTTTAAATCGCATAACCTAAATCAGAGTTATCCATATTTTAATAAATGCAAGTTTAACCTTTTCCCACCACTTTATTTTATGAGATACTTTATAACAAAATACTTTATATCAAAAAATTACAATTTTCTCGATGATTACAATAGTAATATTTAAAATACCTGTTCACCTGCATATTTCGGCTAGATTGGCTATTAGAGAAACGCCCCCTAGCGGGCATTTTTCGAACTTGAAAATAATTTCCAGCGATTTATCTTGGTCGATTTACTTAATAGAATTTTTTTCCCAAAGTTATACGATAAGTAGTTTCTGAGATACAGCCGGCGTCCATTCTTAGTTGGCCACCCGGTATATCTACATTCCGAATTACATCTCCCTAGTTCAAATAGGGCCCGAGTTACGACGCTTCAAGACCTATACCATTTTTGAAGCTTCGCGATGTTGGCGTGACGTTTCGCGTAACGCTAGTTCGTGTGTCGCGTCCTTGAATTTTTACTCCCATCGCGCGTAAAGAAGTTTCACTTCAAAAATGTGCCGATTTCAAACGTTTCATTCATTCAACCGATTTTACAGCTTTATTCTTTATACTTTTAGGATTGGTATACGTTAGAGACGACGGTTGTGGGCCAGTGCTTAGTAAGGTAAATATGAAAACGAGAGCAAACGTAAGAGTGGTACCTCTCTATCGACATATGAAACGTATTAACCAAATGACGGACGTCATAAGCACTGTCGCTATTGCTTCTGAATTACAACGACAGAAATACCAAGAAGAGGAGAAAGAATCTCTTTTGAAGCGTCTGAGGCAAATTGAAGAGGAAAATTGAAAGCGGTTGATTGACAAAGTAATCCTTGTGGTGAAATTAAAACGGCGTCACAGAAGGCCTAGAAATGATAGGTCAGTTCTAGTTTACAGCTCTCTTCAGAACCTATAAGTAATTAATAAACGTTCATTGACCCAGTGTGAGTAGTGAGTACATTATAAATAAACATCTTCTAATGAGTGAATAAAGAGACTAATCTAACTATCTTTTAAAAGAAATTATTTCAAAAGAAGAAAGGAAAAAAAAAAGAAAGAAAAAAAAAGAAAAAAATTTGGAATATATTTTTTTAAAAGAGATATTCATTTATACATTAATAAATAATTGGTTTCCATTACCGTAGATGTTGGTTCCTGGTATGTGTAATAATTTTCAATTAGTAGAAAAACTTTAGAAACTATTAACTTTTTCCACTAGTAATTATAATTGAAAACGCTAGTAAGTATAATTGAATTTATTCCACTAATTTCGAGGTTCTGAATGAAGAATTCGAGTAAAAAGAATAAAAAATAAATAAAAAAAACTATACTGACGATCAGAAGCCAACTGACATGTCATCGACAGATATTGTATAGGGTAAATAGGTATTATTATTGTGTAGGGTGGTCCGAACTGTATTCCTGAAACTTCGGCAGCTTATTCTGCAGATAAAAATAAGTAAAAAAGTTCGTATAAATGTATGTTCTAAAATGCTTAGTTTCAGAAATACAGGGTGTTGAAGTTTTATTTTTACCCGTATAACCAAACAGTATAGAACCTCTATCGAGCCTATATTAAAATCTTTAGTCGATAAAGGCAGCCGTTATTCTTTTGGTACAGCGACGATACGTGTTTGAATACAGTCTAGCCTGTACTGAATAAAGTTGGCCTGTATTGATACTTTACCGCCACTATACATTCTGGATTTAGATTGAATAAAGTTAATTTTTGTCGATTCGTTATCGTACCGATATACATGCTGACGGCGCGGCGTCCTTTACACAATATGTATTAAAATCTATATCCTATAGAAAGTTTTTCTTGTTACCTGAATTAGAAAAGTTATGTTTAAGTAAATTCTTAAACATATCCTTTAATACCTACATATTTTGTAAAGGACGCCTATCAAACCTATAAGTTAGATAAGATTTATATTGGGGCGATGTAAGTAAAATTGCTGAAAATTTGATTACTCTTTTATTATATTTTTACTTACAAATTCGTGTACACTACTGTTTTCATCAGTTTTAAAACTTTCATGAAATGATGCACTAGAGGAATATCATTATAGATATATAAAATACATGAAATTTTTTTTTGTAAAGGATCAGCATATATTTACTATGTATAACTATACAAATTTGTATAGAGTTAATAAAGGATAAGTAAATTTTTGGTAACAGTGAATATTGTCATCGAAAAACTGTATAGAATCTGTATTTATGCGTTATCGATACTATATAGATTCTTTATTTGCGTTATAAATAGCTTTTTTCGTTTTCCTGTTATTACCGATTCTGAACCGTCTTAGAACTGTGATGCGTATGCGCAGAAAGAAATATGAAGACATTATTTCATTTGCGCATGCGCTGCAGAGTTCTAGGACGGTTCAGAATCGGTAATAACAGGAAAACGAAAAAGCTAATATCATTCATCTATTCTCTATAGGAGAACAGATACAGGCAGTGCTTTATGGTTGCTATAAAGATTAAATACAGAACATGTCTGAAAAGGAAATATTTGAATATTCTTGCTTTATATATGAGGTCTTTATCGCGACATCTTTATAGCAAAGAAACTAATCTATATAGGCTTCAGTTTACTATATCGCGTGGTTATACGGGTATTTCGATTTTTTCCAAATAATTTCTGAAGTAACGTCAATATTTGAATGAAAGTAGGTGTCTGGGAGTTTTTTGACATGAGAAATTTGATTTTGTTGTCAAAATGATTCTCATTTGTAGGGGGCGCCACCTATATGTGTTTTAACTGTTTTGAACAGTAATAACTCTTCTTCCGTACTTGTATAAAAGCAATGAGTATGCATTTCCATGACTTTTTACGTAAAAAATGTCTCTTGGTAAAAAGAGGAACCGTTCTAAAGATATTTATGGAAATAGTCAATACACGTCATTATTGACGAAAAATAAAGACGTTGAATAGATAGTTATTTGACTAAAATAATAAATTCGGAAAATTTTTATTTTTTTTTAATTAATCATAAAATTTTCTGCGAAGAAATGATGATAAAACAGTTTAATAACTATTCAGTCAACATGTTTAATTTATGTAAATGATGACAGGTATTGATAATTTAGATTCCAAATATCTCGAGAACCATTTCTCGTAGCGATTTTTCCCAAGAGACCTTTTTTAGGTAAAAAAATATCGTAAATGTATATTTTTTTACTCATTAGTTATATACAGGTTCGAACAAAAAGTTATTACTTTTCAAACCGGTTAAAAAATATGTAGGTGGCGCCCTCTACAAGTAGGAGTCATATTGACATCAAAATCAAACTTCTCATGCCAAAAACCTCCAAGATACCAATTTTCATCCAAATATTTACATTGCTTCATAAATTATTTGGAAAAAATCGAAACAAAAATGAAACTTCTATACCCTGTATCTACGAAACTAATCATTTTAGAACATACGTTTATAGGTACTTTTTTACTTATTGTTATCTGCAGAATATGTATAGCTCGACCTGTGACGTCATTTTCTTTTACCATAATGCAGTATTTAAATATAAACAATCCCCTTAATTGACGTAGTGTCATATACTATTTTCTTCTTGTTCGCTATATCGTTTTAAAACAAGTATGCATGACTTTACTTCACTTTTGTGTGTGTATGTATAAGTTTATATAAAAATATATGTATATATCAATTTATTAAGTTATGACGAATACGATACTACCAGTTTTGCCTGCAAATGATATTGATTAAAAGTAAAAATAAATTAAATTTACATTCAAATTTAACTTTTATAAATTTACTGAACCCATAACATCCTCCTTATGGGTTGAATTAATAAAAAAATAATAGAGATTACTATTTATAGGCAACACATAAATAAAATTTGATGTTTTTTTTGTTTATTCTGTTTGTTATTATTTGTTAGTGTAATTCTCCCCTTAATAATGTTGTTTTTTTTATTTAATAATTATTGTGTTGTACCGATATAAGCGACAATAATAAAATATATTTGATTCACAAGTAAATGTACGTTTTTTTTTTCGTTATTTTACCGCTTCTGGCCTGATATATAGAATGTTCAGCGATTGTTCAACGTCACGTCATATTTTGTCGAACTCTCTCGATCGCTTGCCAACCAGATGTAAGAGATTGGTGACGACGTCATTACGGCATTTAGAGTTGTTTTAGTACAGTACGTACCGGGTGGCCAACTAAGAATGGACGCCGGCTTTATCTCAGAAACTACTTGTCGTATAACTTTGGGAGAAAAATTCTAATGAGTAAATCGACCAAGAGAAATCGCTGGAAATTATTTTCAAGTTCGAAAAATGTCCGCTAGGAAGCGTTTCTCTGATAACCTATCAGAAAACAGGGTTTTTCTCAAAAATATGCAGGTGAACAGGTATTATAAATATTACTATTATAATCATCGAGATATGTGTAATTTTTATAAAAAAAAAGTTGTGCTCATAAATCTGATAATAACTCTGGTTTAGGTTAACCGATTTAAACAAACTAGGGCTCGTTTAAAAGAGCTTTTCTTCCTTAATGATATCCAGTATAAATTTTGTTTCCATAATTTTTTTCGTGGTAGCTAGAGGGCGCTGTTTGACATCATAACAGATATTGCGCTTTTCCATAAGAAATTTAAATAGGAGACTATATTTCTCTTTGCACAGTTAAATAAAGCATAACATTTCCAAAATATCAGCGTAAACCGCAACTTTCTATCTTGTCTCTAACCGGAGATATTAAGAGAACAAATCATGTTAGGCTGCCGCTCAGGATTATATGGTCTAAAAATTATAATAGTAGGCTAGGAAACAAAAAGAGGTAAATAGGTAACGTCAAAATATCAAAACGTTTAAGTTCATTTTCATGCATTCGAATTTCGACGTTTTCTTAAAAAAAATTACGTCATAAATTTTTAAACGTGTTTATGTAACATTATCGTCCATTCGCATAATTTTTACAAATTTCTTGGTTAATTATACGTAGGTGGTTCTCAGATTAAAATGTCCAGACGTCGGACAATCAATAATTTAATTGAAATTTCTAGGAATTTTGTGCCGCCATATTGCTTTTAACAATAATAAATTTCGTATAGCCTAAAACTAGGGGTTTATTTCATGTAACGTCATTTAGCTATTAATCCAAGTTCGTCATTGATGTCACTTGTTTTCGTGTTTTACCTGTTGTTTGTGTTGTTTATTATTATATTATAAAGTTTATGTCGTTTGGGTCACTTTTCATATAAACTCGAAGGTTGTGAAATTGGTCTTAATCTTTTTATTTGATTTAAAAAAACTGAGAATTTTTAATTTTAATTGGTCGAAATTTTATTTATTTATTATAAACATCCTGTTTAAATTAAACACAAAAACTACAAATAAGTTGATTAGTTTTGTAAAATCTGTCAGAAAATGGGACACTCTGTATACTATCTTTTTTTGATTTTAAAAAACTGAGAATTTTTAATTTAAATTGGTCGAAATTTTATTTATTTATTATAAACATCCTCTATACCGAATGATCCAAAAAAAACCGGCTGGGGTATGACAATCGATGATAATTTTGACGACGTCAATCTCCAGATGTCATTTACTAACAATTGACATAAAATTTGGCAACAATTAATACTAATTATCGAATGATTAAAAAAAGATTTTTTCTGTCTGAAAACGTTTTCAGACACAGAAATCTATATATTTCGAAAAAATATGTCTCATCGAATTTAGGGATATACAGGGTGTCCCAGGTTGAGCGTGCATTAGAAGTTTCTAGAGAACCACAATATCTAGATCGGAATTTTTTTGCACATCATTGTTTCACAACGAGATCTATCGATTAAAAATATTTTCAATATGGCGGCACTTCCGGAAATACCGGAAGTTGACTACAACTTTCTTATTTTAAATAGCCGCCCCTATTTTTTATTTCATACTTACATTCTCTGTAAAATTCTATGAATATTGATGTTAAACACTCTATATCTAACATTAACTGTTTTTGAGAAAAAAAATATTTAAAATTTTTGGACGAAAAAAACTACCTGTCAAAAAAATTTGTATAGCCTAAAAGTCAAATTTAGTAATTGCTACAGCTACTGTGACATATAGAGAAGACATGTAGGTAGCTATTTCAAAAATTAAATTGTTCAAATGTCATATGATAATGGCGGTAGCTGTCATGGAATTGAGTGATTAAAAAGTTATCATAAATCATTTTTTTTCAAATGGAAACCTACTTTTTTTATTTCACTAGTGAAAAGATTTTACAATTCGTTACTTTTTAACTATACATGTTCCTATACCAAAAATAAATCGTTTTTAAGTTATTTAAGATTTAGTTTGAAAACGTATATTTTTCTTGATTTTATCTTGCTTCCTTTGACGTTAAGTGTCAAAAAGTCGGATAATTTATTTTCATCTGTCAGAAAACAAATTATTTCAATTTTCTTTATTGTAAATACTGTTGCCTTAAAAGTTTAAAAAGTGTATTTATAAAAATATATCTCGTATTTTCGCTCCTTAGTGATATCTAATAGTTGATATTATTAATTATATTAATAATGTACTGTATCAACCCTGAAAAAAAAACAACGCAAAGTTGGCTTGCAAATGATGATCGATAACATACTGCTTTTTGAACAAATTGTCACAATACGACATGGCCAGATCTATTGTTTTACATCACTTGACGTTTAAAGTCATAGGCTACTTGTTAAAATCAAGTGATTAAATGGTATTAAAATGAAATTAATATATATGTTTTGATATTTTGACGTAACCAATTTACCTCTTTTTGTTTCCTAGCCTACTACTCGAATTTTTAGATCAAATAATCCTAAGCGGTAGCCTAACATAATTTTTTCTCTTAACATCTCCGGTTTGAGATAAGATAGAAAGTTGCGGTTTGCGCTGATATTTTGGAAAGTTTGCGTGCTATTTAACTGTGCAAAGAGAAATATTTATAGCCTCCTATTTAAATTTCTTATGGAAAAGCGCAATATCTGTTATGATGTCAAACAGCGCCCTCTAGCTACCACGAAAAAAATTATGGAAACAAAATTTACACTGAATATCATTAAGGAAGAAAAGCTCTTTTAAACGAGCCCTAGTTTATTTAAATCGGTTAACCTAAACCAGAGTTATCCTTATTTTAAGAAAAACTAGTTTAACCTTCCCCCACCACTTTATTTTATGAGATAGAACAAAACACTCTATATAGAAAAATTACAAATTTCTCGATGATTACAGTAGTAATATTTAAAATACCTGTTCACCTGTATATTTTTAAGAAAAACCCTGCTTTCTGATTGGCTATCAGAGAAACGCCCCCTAGCGGACATTTTTCGAACTTGAAAATAATTTCTAGCGATTTCTCTTGGTCGATTTACTTATTAAAATTTTTTTTCCCAAAGTTATACGATAAGTAGTTCATTCTAACTTGGCCACCTGATACATATATTAATTTTAGTAATTGTCGTTGTCATTTGATTTGGGGTTTGTAAATGTGTAATTTCGGTATCTTTTAACCGGCCAGGATAAGACACTAAAAACGTTAGACGATCAAATCTAATTTTCCAAGGCTCCTTGATTATAAATTAGTGTTTTTAACATAGCCATGGTGCTCTAGATCTCGGAGCGTCCGCGCGGATGTTTTTTCAATATAGCTCATCCGGACGGATAATACGCGACCCATATGAAATCGTTCATATAAACTCATGGTACTTGCTCGAAGTCGCGGACGGTCCGTCCCGGACTCTCCGCTCCATCTGAAAACGCTGTAAATTTTTCTAAACACTAACAGCAGAGTACGTAGATCGCCGAGTAGCGACAGAAATCGTCGGCTCTTTTGATGTGGTGGGACCAAATGTTCTTTCTCTCTCTTTTGACGTGTTTGACAGATAGACTACGTATTTAACTGCTTAACTTATGAAGTGGTCCTATAAACATGGTATACACTGCTCACACTTTGAAGTGGAATTAATTATAAAGTTTTATACTTATATTTTTTGTTTTATTTTATCCTTATTTCTAAATTTGAATGTATAAAATATCTTACTGCTAATAAATAATTAAAAAAACGATTCGTTGCCTGAGGTATACTTGAAATAAAGTATATAGAGATATTTGATAAATGGCAACAGTGGCAACTTCGCTTCTTCGTATGACAGATAACCTACTTATTTCGCGCAGCCGCAAAGAAAATTGAAAACGGGACTGTCGCTACTCGTCGGTTTAGATACTCTGCTAACAGCGTTTTCAGATGGAGCGGAGCGTCCGCGACGGACGTTTTAACCCTTTGGGTACGCAACCCTAAAAAGTAGCCCAGTGGAAAGCCGAATCTCTCTGAATTCTCTTCTGAATTCTTCTTCTACAGAATGTATCTCTCTCTAGTCATGAACGATAAATCCTGTAAAACTCATGAAAATAGGACATCCTGTATATCTCTATTTGTATGTATATTCGTTCAATTAGTTTATTTACGAATCGTTTTAAATGTTCCATTATTGTTGCGATGTTATAATAAATATTGACTCTTGTTAAATATTGACATTGACACTTAATAAATCTAGTTTTCAGTTAGGCATACATCTTACATGGCACGAATGTGTGACTCATACGTGTATTGTACCATGTGATGAACAGGTTTAACGACGATTTATTTATTAATTGACGATTAAAAGGTTCAAAAAAATTCTTTATTGTATTAAGTTATAAATAAAAAATAAATATCTCAATTACAACCTAATTTATAGGTACTCTAAATATAGTCCGTCTAGAAAGTATCCGGAAAAAAGAAAGCAAAATTACAATTATCGATATATATTTTTAGGACTTGAGTTAAAAACATTATAACAAATTATTCATTTTATTTACTTATACGATCTCCATTTAACTCCAAACACTTAACTAAACGTCCAGGTGCACCCGAAACTAGGTTCACACCATAATGTTCAGTGGCGGTAATCCAGGCCTGTAAAACTAAGCGAATCAAATCTTGTTTATTTCGTGGAGCTGCTCGTTCCACTTCAGTCTTCATTAGCCCCATCTGTTTTCAATGGGACTAAGATCTGGTGAAGCTGCTGGCTATGGAATTGTTGCCAAATGGTGTTCTTGCATCCAAGCTTGAATATAGGCGAATATACGTATGGCATCTTGCATTATCCTGCTGAAAACGCCACGCCTCTGGATATAAAACATGAGCCGTTTCAAGAAAAAAAAAACATTTAAAATATCACGATATTTTGCACTATTAACAGTTCCATCAGCTATACACAGAGATGTAGCACCACACACCACACAAGATGAGATATTGCTCCCCAACCCATTATTTTAGTGGGAAATTTTGAAACGTGAACGGTAACATTTTCTTTTGATAGGATTTTTAGGTGGTTTCCACCCAAGAACAGTTAACCTAATAGGACTGCTCATTCAGCCAAAAGTGTCCGCCAGGTGCATGCGAAAACTACTCGCTTTGTGACGTCATTGTAGCCCTTGTCATGGTTATTAGTCCTTATCCGGCAACCAATAATACACACACGTGCATTATTGGTTGCCGAATGCAAAACGTTCATTATTTAGTTTATTTATTTAAACACCTTATATGTATGCAGTATAGAAAATTAACTGTATAAATCGTATTAAATACTCGGATAATGCATTTTTAAGAACAGCAGTTCCCAGCAGCACCTTTTGCAAGCAGTCTTTTTAGAGTACTTCCATATTTTGCTTTAAAATAATTAATAAACAAAATCGTGGGCACTTAGTAAGCGCTTTGTCACAATCCACAATACAAAATGAACGTATTTATACACTCTATAGCTCTAAAAACTTTAAAGACACATTTTTCACATTTAAAATTGACAAAATAATTAACTCAAAATTTCTTAGCTGTTATTTTTATAAGTTTACCATAGGCAACTAATAATACACACTATCATGACAAGGCCACGAAGGCTTTGACAAGGGCTACAATGACGTCACAACTGTCAGCTGAAGCGCGGGAAGAGGCGAACGTACGTCTTATGAGGATGAGCAATCCTATTAGTTTACCGTTCTTGGTTTCCACCAAGCTGGAAACAACTTTCGTCAAAAATAAAAACATTATTAAAATTATCTTCTTGAAAACGTTGACAACAATCCATTCTTCGCTGTCTTTGTAGAGATGTTATTGCAGGGATTTTTTTGGCTTCCTTGCTATGTAGTCTTGTGTTTCACTGAAAACGGATGGTTTCTGGACACAGTTTTAATTTTCGCTGGCTTCCAAATCTGTTAGCCAATTTGCGAAACCCTAGGCGTGGATTCTGTCATCCTAATACCACTAGCGTTTAAATTGTTTTCGCGAATCTTATTAAATTGTTATGCTTCATATCTGTGCCATTTTTTATCCTCTTTATTGTCTCATATCTCTTTCAGGGGCAGGAGATTTATCTACAAAAAAGGTCTAGAGGGGCAGTGAATAAAAAAACATTTATCTTAACTTTTTTATCTTTATTCTAAGAACAGAAAAGAATTCTAGTTATATAAAATCTAAGAGAATATTAAAATGAATTTTTTTCACAAAAAATTGGTGGTTCAAATTTAGTACCACTGAGCAGCAACGTGAATACATGTTAATTCATATTCCTGACGAGTTATAATTTTTGGCGCTCTAGCAGTCTGTTTGCTGTACAAATTGGTCTGGAAAACAATGAAATCCAAAAGTTCATCTGTGAAGAATAACTGGAAAAGCTTTCCAGGTGTTGGGGTGTCCATATTCATTACAATATCGGTTATTCCAAAGTCGTCAACAAAATCACCTGGTTTCTCGGGAAGCATAGTTTTTGACCAATCACGACTGTCACCTACGTTGCAGGAGGAGGAGGCTCTTAACTGGGACTGCAAAACTGAGAGGGGTAAATCATCCTCTGGGTCATCCTCACTATCAGTTTCCAGATCAAGTTTCATAATAATTATATCTTGAGTATTATCCATCATATCTGTTTCTTCCTCAGAGACGTCAACAACCGAATCTACATCAGATGGAATGTCTTCTATGCTCTCCATGAGCTCATCGTATAACATTCCAACTAATTTGAACGGCAAATGATCTATTTTATCTGCAAATGAAAAATTAGACTTTAGCAAAAACGCGTTACGGGGCGGTGGTACATATATAATACCATAACATTTATTGAAACATTTTACCAAAAAAAAACGATGTTTCACAAGTTAATAAGTAATAATGGGTTACTGCAACATATCTAGACTACGAACCTTAATAATAACATCACATTTGCTTACCTTTATGATCTATTTGCACTAAAAACACACCGAATCATTAATCCACCTGTTTTTGTAGCGATTTTCTAACATAAAATACGCCTGAGTGTGAAAGCGGCGCACTGGCTAATGTAACATTAAAAATACACGATTAGACACACGCGTTAAATGTTGTTGATCCACAAATGAAACCACCGAGCAACAAGTTACAAGCTTTTGAACAAGTGGTATATTTTTTGGACCATTACCCCATTGAATCAATTTTTGATCGGGTACATTTTATGTACCACTGACCCTGAAAGAGATATACTGCACTTGTTCCGAGTTCAGCCAATTGCACCAATTTTTTAACGTTTCGAACACCTTATATACAGGGTTGTTCACCACATACGACACGGAGTATTGTAGCTAAACGATGAGATTTTTACAAATTGTAAGTTATGGGTTCGATGAAGGACTATTAGAGGTACAATTTAAAAATAATTTTACAAGATACAGAGTGTCCCAATTAAGTAAAAAATATCAAAGTTGTATTTTTTTAAATGGAACACCCTGTATATTATTACATTTTTAGTTTCTACGATTAAAATAAAGGTAAATTTGATTAAGGTTTATTATACTTAAACCTTACCGTTTTTGAAATATTTTCAATTTTGTGAAATTGCAGTAATAATTTTAAGGCTTCATTTCTCCAAGGGTATCAAAGTTTTTAATACTAAATATTTACTGAAGTTTATTTATTGATCAGTTATTTTGTTGCAATAATAAAAATAATACTACCTTATACAGAGTGCCTAAAAATTTATTTTATATAATTATTAGCTTCAAACGGCAATAACTTGTTTAATTTAAACGGAACACCTTGTATATTTTACGAGAATCAGATGCACAATTTAATTGTCTATCAAATTACATTATACCATTTTTTACCTATCTCTTTAAGTTTCCGAAGAAAATGCATTTTCTTGTAATTTAGAACTTATTTATCAATATACCCATGGAATATTGACATTTTAGATTATTTTTAAAGATGTACCAAATTTTTAAAGAGTACAGATACTAATATTGTCGATATAATTTGTTTATTTTATTAAAAAATAAAAAAACTGTTTAAATATTTGTTAAAGGGGACCAATTAATATGATTCCAGTATTCAAACTACATTAACTGACTGTTTGCGTTGATTAATAATAATTGCTCCAAATACTAAAAAATTGAATTTTGTATGGGTATTAGACAGTGTGATAAAAAGAAACACCTTAAAAATGATATTTCATTTTTTAATAAATACTTATTTATAACAACAGAGACTTTAATTTGATAACTTATTATTATATTGATTTCTGACTCAAATCCACATTTATTTAGAATAATTTATTAACGAACACAATTAAGTATGTAATTAATTAGTATATGGGCGGAAATAATGGTGTTATATTTAATTGGTATACTCTTTTATAAAGATTTAAATAGTTTTCTTTTTGCATACAAATGGGCTAGTAATATTATCGTTTTGCTAAAAACGATAATATTACTAGCCTGTACATTTTGTACATTTGTTGCTTTAAAAACAATCTAAAATGTCAATATTCCATGGGTATATTGATAAATAGGGTCTAAATTATAAGAAAATGCATTTTATACGAAAACTTAAAGGGATAGGTAAAAAATAGTATAATACAATTTGATAGACAATTAAATTGTGCATCTGATTCTCCTAAAATATACAGGGCGTCCCATTTAAATTAAAGAAGTTATTGGCGTTTAAAGCTAGAAATTATTTAAAATAAATTTTTAGACACTCTGTATAAGATAGTATTATTTTTATTATTGCAACACAACAACTGATCAATAAATAAACTTCAGTAAAAATTAATATTAAAAACTTTGAAACCCTTGGAGAAATGAAGCCTTAAAATTTTTACTGCAATTTCCCAAAATTGAAAATATTTCAAAAACGGTAAGGTTTAAGTATAATAAACCTTAATCAAATTTACCTTTATTTTAATCGTAGAAACTAAAAATGTAATAATATACAGGGTGTTCCATTTAAAAAAATACAACTTTGATATTTTTTACTTATTTGGGACACTCTGTATCTTGTCAAATTATTTTTAAATTGTACCTCTAATAGTCCTTCATCGAACCCAAAACTTGAAATTTGTAAAAATATAATCGTTTAGCTACAGTACTCCGTGTCGTATGTGGTGAACAACCCTGTATACAAATATTCCACCATTTCTCTTTTTATTTACTTGCGACATTATTTCTCAAATCTTAAGCTGGTTTACAATCAACAATATTTGACAGATGGTGTTGCCATGCGACTTTGGTCATAGCCTACTATCGGCACAACCTACATGATGGATTACTGTTGTCTTAGAGTGTTACAGAAAAAAAATACACTAAAATTAGGAAAAATATAAAATTCCGGATACTTTCTAGACGGACTATAGTAAGTATTTAATAAAATGGTAAAAAGATAAATATCATATACGATCAAAAAACACAGGCGTCAGAGTTCAATCATGTCATAGATAGTTATTTACAAGCCAATTTGACGTTATTTTTATAAAATAATAATAAACTACATTTTTATGAACTGCCGGCGTTTTTAACAAAAGAAGGAATATTTTACAAAGAGTTTTCAGTCGCTTTGCAAAATGTCTAATGAAGAGTAGTCAGACTGAACAAATCATTTTACGCGGGATTGGTATAACTAACCTAAATTTATCCAACGACATTTCTTGAACTTCTCTTTCAAAATTTGGAAATAATGGCTCAAAAAGTAATAATTCTCTTAAATAGAGTATGGTTGAGGTATGATTATTATAAAGATCTAAATTCATTTTATTCTAAAAGAAAGCAAAGTTCCACAAAGAAGCAGTCCTGTACACAGAATCGAATTACAGAGTATAATAATTAAATGAAATATTAATATTAAGGTTTTAATATATATTTTGTATTTAAAATTATGTTATTTATAATTAAAATTTATGAAATAGGATCCAAGTTGGTTCGTCTGAACAGAATAAAATTTTGACATAAATAATAATTATTGTTTTTGTATAGGTAAATATGGAGTATTTTTATTAAAGAATAAATTTTTCAATATGCTTATGCTCATAGCTGATAAACTTTGATCATTTTTTAATCTGCCTGGCCTCGATTCTCCATTTGGCATTTTGTAAAATGACTGAAAACAGGCAGTCTTTTTGCAGAAGTGTACAGAAAATATATCATCTTTGTTTAATATGCCTAATTCTGATTAGGCTTTTTGCAAAGTGACTGAGAATAGATAGGCTTTTTGTAAAAAAATTTCTTCAAAAAGCCGGCGTTTTATAGTATGCCTTGTAATTGCCTAGTAATTGTGCCTAGTAATGCCTAGTAATTTTGCAAAAAGCCGGATTATTCTGTACGCCTACGACATATACAATACCATACTATCTACGAACTGTATAATACAAGTGGACATAAGATACTACACCACAATATTTTTATTTTTTCTTTCTATAATGTTGTTACCCTGATTTATAAAAAGAAACATAAACATTTTTTAGTTTCTTTGTTACTTCGTATACACTCACAGACCGGAGTATCTGAAAAAAAAAGAAACACACTAATGGTATATTGATTACATCGTAATAACGAACTCGACCTGTAATTGTTATTGATTAAAAATATATATGCAGGGCTATCTAGAATTTTCCGGACTTTCTCGTATTTTTTTCATTTAATATTGCATTGATAATTATTCGTTTGGAAGAATACAATAGAAAAGGATAATGTATACAGGGTGTCCCGTGCATTAGAAGTTTCTAGACAACCACAATATCTAGATCGGATTTTTTTGCACATCATTGTTTTACTACGAGATCTATCGATTAAAAATATTTTCAACATGGCCGCACTTCCGGAGATACCGGAAGTTGACAACAACTTTCTTATTTTGAATGGGTGAACCCATTTTTTATTACATACATTCTCGGTAAAATTCATTAACATTAACCGTTTTTGAGAGAACATGTGGCCATTTTATATTAATTTATCAGAAGTACTCGTAATAATATTATTTTTTCCATAGCAACTGTTAAAATTGCCTTAGGTATATCCTTCAAAAATAGTAGATACTACTATTAAAATAATAGTACTTTAACCACAAGGGTATATTAAATGATACTTTAACGGCGAGAATAGGTTAAAAACTTTATTTCTTCTCGCACGTTTTTTAATTGCTTCCATTTTTGAAAATTTTTGTATTCCTTTTCATAAGTTATTCGGGATTTAAATGGAAGTAGTTTGGATATGGCGTTTGTCGCCTCATCCTGAATATCTGTTGGTAATTTACGTATTTCCTTTTGAGCCATTTCTGGCTCCAGTTCAATCAGCAATCAACACGAAAGAGAATTAAAAAATATTGACTCAAAACTGACAACTAAAGAGACAGCTTTATTTATTTGTCAAATTACATAGAAACCAACGTCAACCCAGCACAATATTTTTTCTACTCCTAATAAATTCCTTGAAATAATAATTTCTGAATATTCTTTAAAACGTAACTCGCTATGGAAAAAATATTATTTTATACACGACGATAAAATTGCATTATCGTCTTCCGAAATAAATTCACTCGCGATCTCATCGCACGTGAATTAATCATTTCGGTCGATGATAAAATATCATTTTATCGTCTTGTATAAAAAATAACTATAATTGTTAACAAATTTGCTTACTTCGTACCCCACCCGCATTTCAGTTTAGTGTACAAAATTAAGATACAAATATGAATTATAAACATCTAACATTCTGAACTCTTAGCCATGAACAAGATCCTGAAAAATTAAAAATATATCATCTCGTCGGCTCTGTATTTTAAGGAAAAACTTGTTAAAATCGCTGATCAAAGACTTAAAGAGAAGCGATAAAAGTTTTCTAATACTTGATTTTGCTACTTAAGTTGTAATCGAAGTCCTTACAAAAGAGAGAAGCATCTCACAGACTGATAATGAGAGGCAAAGGTGAGTTTTGACTTTGACAACGTTTTGACCTACATCTACATTATCAGATTACTAAAGAACAGGATGTGGAGGAAATATTTTTT